TTAAATCTATGACCTCTTGTTCTTGAAATTCCAGGTCTCAGGAAGTCTTCCCTGTCGATTTTATCAATTCCTGTAACTATTTTGTATGTAGTGATCATATCACCTCTTTTTCTTCTGTCTTCTAGTTTTGGCATATTTAATGCTTCTAACCTCTCCTCGTAGCTCTTGCCCTTCAGTTCTGGGAGCCACTTAGTAGCATGTCTTTGCACCTTTTCCAGTTTGTTGATGTGCTTCTTAAGATATGGGCACCACACAACAGCTGCATATTCTAGCTTTGGCCTAACAAAAGTCATGAACAATTTCTTTAGTATATCGCCATCCATGTATTTAAATGCAATTCTGAAGTTAGAAAGCATAGCATAGGCTCCTTGCACAATATTCTTTATGTGGTCCTCAGGTGATAGTTTTCTATCTAGAACCACTCCTAGATCTCTTTCTTTATCAGAATTCTTTAAAGATTTCTCACATAATATATAGGTTGTGTGGGGTCTATGTTCTCCTATTCCACATTCCATAACATGACATTTATTAACATTAAATTCCATTTGCCAAGTGGTGCTCCATATACTTATTTTGTCCAGGTCTTCTTGAAGGGCATGACAGTCATCTAAATTTCTTATCCTTCCTATTATCTTAGCATCATCAGCAAACATGTTCATATAATTCTGTATACCAACTGGTAGATCATTTATGTACACAATAAACATCACTGGTGCAAGAACTGAACCCTGTGGTACTCCACTTGTGACATTTCTCCATTCTGATACATTGCCTCTGATTACTGCCCTCATTTTTCTATCAGTCAGAAAATTTTCATCCATGATAGAAGCTTACCTGTCACCCCTCCAATATTTTCCAGTTTCCAGAACAACCTCTTATGTGGAACTCTGTCGAAAGCCTTTTTTAGGTCCAGATAGATGCAGTCAACCCAACCATCTCTTTCCTGTAATATCTCTGTGGCTCGATCATAGAAACTGAGTAAATTCGATACACAGGATCTTCCAGATCGAAAACCATACTGTCTGTCTGATATTATATCATTTCTCTCTAGGTGTTCTACCCATTTAGTTTTGATTAGTTTTTCCAATACTTTCACTATTACACTTGTCAATGATACAGGTCTATAATTGAGGGGGTCTTCCCTGCTGCCACTTTTGTAGATTGGAACTATGTTAGCCTGTTTCCACCCGTCTGCTACGATTCCTGTACACAGGGATGCCTGAAAGATCAGGTGAAGTGGAATGCTGAGCTCAGATGCACATTCTCTCAGAACCCATGGTGAAACGCCATCTGGGCCAGCTGCTTTGTTCTTACCGAGCTCCTTGAGCATTTTTTCCACTTCGTCTCTAGACACCTCTATGTGTTCTATGTTGTTCTCTGGAATTCTTATTGTATCTGGTTCCCTAAAGATTTCATTTTGTACAAACACACTTTGGAACTTTTCGTTTAGTGTTTCACACATTTCCTTTTCATCTTCCGTGAATCTATTTCCCATTTTCAACCTCTGAATATTATCCTTTACCTGCAATTTGTTGTTTATGAATTTATAGAATAGACCTGGTTCTGTTTTACATTTGTCCGCAATCCCTTTTTCAAAATTTCTTTCTGCCTCTCTCCTCACTGCCGTGTAGTTGTTTCTCGCATCTTTGTATCGCTGGTATGTTTGGGGGTTCGGCCTCTTCCTGTATTGATTCCATTTTTGTGTCTTTCGGTCTCTAGCCCTCTCGCAATTTCTATTGAACCAATCCTGTTTCCTAGTTCTGCATCTCTGTTTTGGTATAAATTTTTTTGTGCCTTTATCATATATTTCACAAAACTTGCCATACATCTCATTCACTTCCTTGCCTAGCATCAAGTCTGTCCAATTATACTCACTAAAAAAATTTCTAAGGTCACCATAATGTCCTCTCCTGAAGTCTGGTTTTTCAACTGCTTCAACCTCCTTATTTTCTTCCAGCTTATAACGCATTGCATACTTTATTCCCAAAAAGACATGGTCACTTTTACCCAAGGGAGGAAGGTACTGAATGTCAAATATCTCTTCCTCCTTCCTGGTAAATATCAAATCTAGCATGGAGGGAACGTCCCCTTCCCTCATCCTCGTAGCTTGTTTAACATGTTGATACAAGAATGTTTCCAGGATGAGGTCTACAAATTTACAGGTCCAAAAATCTTCTGTTTTAGCTTCATATGCTTCCCAGTCTATGGATTTCAAGTTGAAGTCACCGACTATCAACAGTCGTGATCTATCGTTATCCGCTCTCGCTATAATCTCTCTCATTATTGTTATAAGACCTTCACGTTTACTATCTAGCTCCTCCTTTGACCATGTGCTGCTTGGCGGTGGACTATATGCATTTATCATCATTAGTTTATCATCCTCATAGCAGATCTCTAGTGCTATTATGTCAACTTCTTGTGGATTGGCAGTCATTATTTCCTTCACCTTTAGGTGTTCTTTTACCAGCACAGCAACGCCACCGCCTTTCCTAATTTTTCTGTCCCGTCTCCAAATTGAGTAGCCCCTTGGGAATATGACCTCATTTAAAATTACATCTTCAAGTTTTGTCTCCGTGAGTGCAACAATGTCTGGTGTCTGCAGCTGTATTACATCACTTAACTCCAGTATCTTCGATCTCACTCCATCTATGTTGGTGTATGCAATCTTCAGGAACTTGTTCCCCCTCTCCTTATTCTTCACTCCCCCTCTCTCTATTGATTTTGTTGGTTTGCCTTTATGTACCACTTTACTGGTTTGCCTACCCCTATCACTTTGTAGAAAAAAGAATTTATTTCTTCTTCATTCCTGCTCTCATTTAAATGTTTTGCCTCGGCGAGGTTCAGTTTCAGCTTCTCTCTATCTTCTTTTGAAAGATCTCGTCTTAACGACCACCCTTTCCCATCCTCATCCCTTTGCAATTTTCTAGCATTCCTTAGTACTTCTTCCATCTGTTTGGCACCGTTTAGGGTGATCCTCAAAGGTCGATCTTTCCCTTTTACGTACCTGCCTATTCTCCTGTAGTCGCACACATTCTCTCTGTTTGTAAGACCTTCCACGAGGCCAACAATTTTATCTACTACTTTAGCTTCTTCTACAGCTCTTTCTGACCTAGATGTTATCGCCTTTTCTTTGCAGCCAAAAATGATCAGGGACTTACTCCGATCAACTGTGTTTTGCACCAACTTCGGGTTAGATGCCAATTCTTTTCTCACTTCCAGCCTAATGTTTGTTTTATCTTGGTTGCTGCAGTGTTTGACTTCCTTTACTGCTTCTTCTATTTTTTCCTTCTCCTTGGCCACTTGTGCATAAGTGAGTTGCATATCTTTCTTGCACTGTTCTATTCCCTGTGTAACTTCCTCCATCTGTGCTGACAAAAGCTGTTTCTCCTGTTGAATTTCCTTGCCTAACCTATTGTAGTCATTTATGTTTAAATTTACTTTAACTTCTTCCAAAGCTATTTTTAAGAGTTTATTTTCTTCTTCCATGGCTTTGCAATTTGTTTCCAATTGATTCTTATCCTTGCGCAAGTCTTTCACTAAACCCTCAAGACATAAAACTTTGCTATTCAAATGGTCATTACTTTCTTTCAATTTACTAATTATTTCTACATGAGAGTTCACTATAGTATCTAAATTTACCAACTTGTTATGTAGACTACTAATATCAATGCTTTCTTCATTGAATCCCTCAAAATCAAGCTCTGTTTTGTTTTTCCCCTTGTGTGTGTGTGTGTGTGTGTGTGTGTGTGTGTGTACTCACCTATATGTACTCACCTATATGTGCTTGCAGGATCGAGCATTGACTCTTGGATCCCGCCTTTCGAGCATCGGTTGTTTACAGCAATGACTCCTGTCCCATTTCCCTATCATACCTGGTTTTAAAATTATGAATAGTATTTGCTTCCACAACCTGTTCCTGAAGTGCATTCCATTTCCCCACTACTCTCACGCTAAAAGAAAACTTCCTTACATCTCTGTGACTCATCTGAGTTTCAAGCTTCCATCCATGTCCTCTCGTTCTGTTACTATTCCGTGTGAACATTTCGTCTATGTCCACTCTGTCAATTCCTCTGAGTATCTTATACGTTCCTATCATGTCCCCCCTCTCCCTTCTTCTTTCTAGTGTCGTAAGGCACAGTTCCCTCAGGCGCTCTTCATACCCCATCCCTCGTAGCTCTGGGACGAGTCTCGTTGCAAACCTCTGAACCTTTTCCAGTTTCATTATATGCTTCTTCAGATGGGGACTCCATGATGAGGCGGCATACTCTAAGACTGGCCTTACGTAGGCAGTGTAAAGCGCCCTAAATGCCTCCTTACTTAGGTTTCTGAATGATGTTCTAACTTTTGCCAGTGTAGAGTACGCTGCTGTCGTTATCCTATTAATATGTGCCTCAGGAGATAGATTAGGTGTTACGTCCACCCCCAGGTCTCTTTCACGCGTCGTTACAGGTAGGCTGTTCCCCTTCATTGTGTACTGTCCCTTTGGTCTCCTATCTCCTAGTCCCATTTCCATAACTTTACATTTGCTCGTGTTGAATTCTAGTAGCCATTTCTCTGACCATCTCTGCAATCTGTTCAGGTCCTCTTGGAGGATCCTGCAATCCTCATCTGTCACAACTCTTCTCATCAACTTTGCATCATCCGCAAACATCGACATGTAGGACTCTACGCCTGTAAACATGTCGTTAACATACACAAGAAATAGAATTGGTCCCAGCACCGATCCTTGTGGTACTCCACTTGTTACTGTTCGCCAGTCCGACTTCTCGCCCCTTACCGTAACTCTTTGGCTCCTTCCTGTTAGGTAGTTCCTTATCCATTCTAGGACCTTTCCCCCCACCCCCGCCTGCCTCTCGAGCTTGAACAGCAGTCTCATGTGCGGTACTGTATCAAAGGCTTTTTGGCAGTCCAGAAATATGCAGTCTGCCCAACCATCTCTGTCCTGTCTTATCCTCGTTATTTTATCATAGAATTCCAGAAGGTTTGTTAGGCACGATTTCCCTGTCCAGAACCCATGTTGTGTGTGTGTGTGTGTGTGTGTGTGTGTGTGTGAGAGAGAGAGAGAGATCTTGTGATATGAGATCAGTTTGAGAACTGAAGTTAGTAATTTGACACATTGAAGATATTTATTTTGATTCAAAGGCTTAGAAAAATAAATAATACGAATAGTTGAATAATTTAAGTATAATCTAACAAACGCACATATGCAGTCACGCACACATGCAGTCACGCACACATACACGCGCAAACACATACACGCAAGCACACGCACATAAACACACACACACACACACACACACACAAATACATGTAATAGCTTCTGCAATTCTTCAGAGTCTCTTGCAAACTATCACTTATTTTTCTCTACACTGTAAATAAAATCTCATCTATCTTGATTTAAATAGCTGACTTGCTCCACAGGTAAAATAGCACACACTTGAAAACATGAATTACACCTGACATAAGTACAAAAATAAATCAATGGATGCCTTTAACACCTTATAGTCTTCAAACTGGGAATTCTTACCATCCTGAAGAAGAACTCTTCACTTGAGGTCACACACCTACTAGACACAAGGACTAGATATCATGATTTTCCTTAACACATCACTGAAATGTCAACAGTTTTCATTAGTTTTTCACTATAGTTTCAAGTAGTATTTTTAACATTAGCAACTGCGGCGTATGTGTGTTTCAGCCCCAGAATATTCTGTTGAACTTTCATGTTTTTCATTGTTAGCGTTTAACCAGTTAAATCATGACAATTCGTGGTATAATGTTCATCTTGTATAGATCATACAAGGCTAATACTTATACACTCATTCATACACTCACACATAATATGTTCCCTGGATATCAGAGAACTGAGTTTTATCTCCATGAAAGATCGTTTGTAAACACCACCAGTGATATCTATGGAGGTAGGAGGGTGGCGCTGAGGCGAGGTCACAGCTCCTTCTATGTCCGCTGAATGGTGTGGCTGAGAGGTGTGGCGCTGAGTGCACTCCACAGCACCTCACCCTCCACAGTCCTGCTCCTAAACACTCCACCACTCGAGTACCTGCACCACAATCGACTTGAGAATGGTCCAGGACGGACCGAAACATCCTCGTCCCTTCACCTTCTAGTATGTGGTCTGGTCAACATATTTTAACCACGTTATTGTGACTCCTCGTCTGCACCACACTTTAAACTGCAAAAACCAGCCTTACACTCCAACATAGAGTACAAGTACCATCCATGCGTTACCCAGAACGCATAACTGGTGCACAGCCACGCCAAACCCCCAGCGCCTGCGCAATCACCACTACACAGCACTTTCATGCTCCGAGGTGGGTTGAAAGAGCTTCGGGGTGGTGGGTGGTGGGTGGTGGGGCGTCGGCTGGTACTGCCTAGCCAGCTGGTGATCTGTCAGGTGAGGGGGCAGCTGGCTCAGCTGGCCAGGAAGCTGGTCCAGTGGCCGCAGGTAGGCAGAATGCCGCCGGGTGTCCACTACCCCGTACGGAGACAAAGGCGAACTGTCCGGTTGGTCTTTGGTCACGGCGGTCACGGGCGTCCCAGTCCACACTCCTTCACTCACCGCCCACTCCCTCTCAGCCTGCAAAGGTGCACAGATTAACACAGTAAGACGACACGAAGACCTGCATTTTAAACATCTGTCAGATGAGTGATATTGCATAATAAACATCTGTCAGATGAGCGCTGTTGCATATAAACATCTGTCAGATGAGTGCTGTTGCATATAAACATCTGTCAGATGAACGCTGTTGCATATAAACATCTGTCAGATGAACGCTGTTGCATATAAACAGCTGTCAGATGAGCGCTGTTGCATTATGAACACCTGTCAGATATGCTCTGTTGCATTTTAAACACCTGTCAGGTAAGGTGCCCGTAATGCTCTTCATCACAGTGAAGGATGTATAAAGTGGGAAATCTCTGTTGATAATTGCATATTGCAATATATATATAACATGGCAGCGACCTGCATTTAACAACATATTCAAATCGATACATGAACGTGATGAATGATAAGGAATGTGTTGATGAGTACGGGGGTTGTACACACGTACCTTGTGCTGGGGAAGGTGCTGGTAGTCGTACACGGGCACGTAAGTGACCTTCTGCGGCGTGTACGGCATCGAACCAGAACTACCACCACTATTACCACCTTCCACAGGCAGATCTTCCTGATAGTACGGCACTTCTTGCCCTGCTGGAGAGGCCTCTACCATCACTATGTGTGACGGCTTCTGCTGCTCAGGGTAGTGCTGCTGCGGAACATACTGCTGCTGCTGCTGCTGAGGGGAATACTGCTGCTGTAGTGGATACGGCTGCTGCTGTTGTGGTGGATACAGCTGTTCCTGTTTTCCCTGAGTGACGCGGCCGTTGCCAATCAGAGGCGTGCTGGAGTCGTGAGAATGGGTCATCATGGCCGACTCTGTACCAGGGAGATAATATACAATCAAATGATAACTCTCGCTTGAACGGTCCAACCACTTGGGCTGGACGGTAGAGCGACGGTCTCGCTTCATGCAGGTCGGCGTTCAATCCCCCGACAGTCCAAGTGGTTGGATATCATTCCTTTCCACCTCTCCCATCCCAAATCCTTATCCTGATCCCTTCCCAGTGCTGTATAGTCATCATGGCTTGGCGCTTTCCCCCCGACAATTCCCTTCCCTTCTCGCTTGAACAGCTTCTCTGTATCGCTGCTGTGTGAATTTTCGCGCCATATTTTATCTCACTTTGAAAATTTTCATTAATTAGACCTATAATGTTGTCGGTAATTAGATAGTTGGTAATTATACGTTTTCCTGTATTCATTCCTCCTTCCGTATCCTCATTCCCATGATTCTTCCTTTCTCTTAATTCTCCACCTTTCATTCTCTCCCCATAAAGCCACTTCTACACTTCCTAAATTTTATTCTGTCCTTCCATTCTCCTGTTTCCTCATGCGCTTGTCCGGTGCTTTCTCTCACTCCCCTTTGTTTGGTGTTGTTGTCCTCTGCCATTTATGCTTCTTGTATGTCATTCGTTGCTGCTTCTCATTCTGCTTTCTCCTCTTACTCTCATTTCTTCTCTCTGGCGTTCTTTATCTCTCTCTCTCTCTCTCTCTCTCTCTCTCTCTCTCTCTCTCTCTCTCTCTCTCTCTCTCTCTCTCTCTCTCTCTCTCTCTCTCTCTCTCTCTCTTTCTCTCTCTCACGGTCTTGCGTTTTTATCATGCATTTAACATCGTATTATTGTGTTTCTACCTTGATGTCCTACCTTAATGTCCTACCTTAATGTCCTACCTTAATGTCCTACCTTAATGTCCTACCTTAATGTCCTACCTTAATGTCCTACCTTAATGTTCTACCTTAATGTCCTACTTTAATGTCCTACCTTAATGTCCTACCTTAATGTCCTACCTTGGCGTCGTACTCACCTTGCGAGGCGGAGACGAGGTCTGGGCCAGAGTGTCCGTGGGTGTCCGTGGTGTCCGTAAGTCCGGAGTCCTGCCTCGTCTCGGCCTTCCCGCAGGACTTGTAGCCTGCGGCGTCGCCTGCACTGCTGCTCTCCCGCAGGCTGAGGAAGGGAGAGAGGTGCCCTGTACTTCTCGCTATTACACCTATTACAACTCTCCCTATTACACCTCACCAGCCAGACACCACAGTGAACAAATCAGTCCCCACTAAGACCGAGCTAGACCCCCCAGTACAGTGCCTGGAGGGCTACTCACCTGTGGGCTTCTCGTGCGTTCCGTCTCTTGCATTTGGCTACCACCAGGGCGATGACAAGGAGCAGGGCCACGGCCAGCACCCCACCGATCACAGACCCTACGATAGGGCTTAGGGGCTCCCCGGGCTTACCAGCTCCCAAGGCTGAGGATTAGAAGTTGTGGCACCAGGGGCAGAGGAACCAGCACCAGCATTATTAATAGTTGTAATAGTATTAGTCGTAGCAAGATTAATAGTTGTAAAGGCAGTAGTCCTGTTTTGCAATGCACCAGCGAGACTATCTGTAATTGTTACAGTGTATATTTACAGTTACAGTAAATGTTACAGTATCTCTAGTCACCAGAGATTCTAGAGAAGCAGGAATACCAACATTAGAAAGAAAAATTATCCCTAAAATTGTAATATGTTTACCCTATTTTAATAATGTTTATAACGTTGGTAATACCTTAGAAAAATACCTTCCTTCACATTATTTTTAATGAATTATGTGCAGAAAATATTAAAACTTTTTGAGAAAAAGGAATGCATAGAATGCAGAGTCAAAATGCACAGAGATATGTCAGAGGACTTGAGAAGAACAACAGTTGTTCTACTGTATAACCACAAATGCGATAGTAGGGAAAGTTAGAACTATTTACGAATTAGTGTATTAAGTGTATCGAGCAAGTTGTATAGCAAAATTAATAGAAATAATGCTGAATATTAACACTTTTTTGTGTTCTTTAAGGCTGTCAGTAGATTAAGAATACTGACAGCTTCACCACAATTTCGGAGAGGACAAGAAGAACAGGGAATAAAATAAACACCATTAGGAGGAACAGTGTGAATCAGATTACTACAAAGTGTAGTGATTTATCAAAACGCCAGTTTTATAACAAAGGGGACGGGGGTAAATTAGTGACTTGTTTTCTTTAAATATGAAGGGAATTCAAAACACAGGATTCTTAGTGCTGGAAGCAGTCATATGATGAATGGAAATGCTTTTAGCATGAGAGTAGGCAATTTTTTGGCTTTATATTCTTAGTAATCATTACCTGCAGATCTTTTTCACAATCAAATTTTGCAACTTCTTCACCATCAGGCTCCTGTAACTCTATCATCATTACTTAGCCTCAGAATCTTACATTTGTCAGTATTAAACTGCATCTGCCAATCTGTCTACCTTTTCGAAACCCTGTCTTGAAGTTCTTCAAGATCTTCTTGAAGTGAATTTGAGTCTACAAATCTGGCTAGGAAACTGCCGAGCCAGATTTGCAAACTTATTTGATGCAATAGCTAGTTTCTTAGAAAGTGGAGGGGTCTGATTTGGCAGAGAAAATATATTGAACCACAAATGAAACATCTTCTTTATTATCTTGATTTTTATTCGAAAACTCAATAAAGTTTCACTTCAACTTCAAGGCAAATTATGTTCGTTGCTAGACTGTAAACGTGTTTTTAAATTTTTGAAAAGAAAAAAAACTATTGTTTTCGAATCAATTTACAAAAGGAACTTTTTTGTGAAGTACAAAAGAAGCAACATAAATAATTTGACATCTCAGACGAAGATCTTAAAATTATCGAGATTATTTAATGTCATTGAAAGAGGAAGTGAATAGCCGATTTTCACTTTCTTTTGAAGTCAAGCCATGTATGCTGGATCATCTCAGTGCAAACATCTCGGAGGAACGTATTGAACTAAACTGCAATGATGAATACAAAGTTGAATAGGCCGGAATGATTGAATTCCGGCTGGCAAATACAACTAAACAGTTCCATCCGAACATGTGATCCGAAAGGACTAAAGAACCATTGTATTTTCCAACTTCATTCTTGGTTAAACGTGTCTTTAGTGCACCCAATAAATTATTGGTAAAGGAAAGAAATACAAGTGATATATATTCATTCTAGGAGACATACGACTAAAACTCACAAATATCAAACCAAATATCAAGAATCTAGCTGCCAAACCCCAAGCACAAGGCTCACAGTGAAAAAATATATTAGCAAAGTGTAATGCCTTTTTCAGTGTCATAAAGAAATTGCAGGGTGGGAGGAAGAGTGTTTTACATAAAGTTTCTGAAATAAACAAAGGGGGAAAGGGGGTCCTATGAGGTAAAAAAAAGGCTGAAAAACACTGAACTAAAGTATTATTAACACGGCCCTTGTCCACCTGCAACAATCAGTCCTTCCCAACAACTCTTAAGTAGTTCTGTCCAGCCACAAGAAACAATCCCTTCCAGCATTTTCAAAAAGTTTTTTTTCCAACTACAATAAGGAGTTTCTTTCAAGCTACAAGAAGCAGTTTCTTCCATCTGAAACATACAATACCCTTCCAGCTGAGACATACAATCCCTTCCAGCTGAGACATACAATCTCTTCCAGCTGAGACATACAATCCCTTCCAGCTGAAACATACAATCCTTTCCAGCTGAAACATACAATCTCTTCCAGCTGAAACATACAATCCCTTCCAGCTGAGACATACAATCTCTTCCAGCTGAGACATACAATCCCTTCCAGCTGAAACATACAATCCTTTCCAGCTGAAACATACAATCTTTTCCAGCTGAAACATACAATCTCTTCCAGCTGAGACATACAATCTCTTCCAGCTGAGACATACAATCCCTTCCAGCTGAAACATACAATCCCTTCCAGCTGCAGCAAGGAATCACTTCTATTAACAAAACATTTTCAGCTACAATAATCAATCCTCTTCACCTAGCGTCATCAGAGATGTATCTATAATCCCTCTAGGTGACCACTTCCCTCCCTGATCAATCCTGCAGGCATCAACTCACCTGTACGTCTCTCGGCCACGTCAGTGAGGGTGAAGGCGGTGAAAACGAAGGGTAGCGAGCGTCCCATAGCGTTGCTAGCGAAGACTTTGAGCGTGTAGCGAGTCCCGGGTCGTAGTCCAGCGAGCTGCAAGAGAAAAAACACACGCATCGAGGCGGGACCAAAGAGCCAAAGCTCAACCCCCCGCAAGCACAATTAGGTGAGTGCATCCAGGTGATAAGGTGAGGAAATTAACAGGTTGGAGCGATAAGTCATTACCACTATCCAGCGTTTGGAAGAAACGTTGATCTGGAATAGGATAGGACGGAGGAATAGAACGGTTCTCAACCATTTGGATCCTCTGGGATCGAACGCCGATCTGCAAGAAGCGAGACTGTCGTTCGACCAATCCATGTGGCTAGGAACGTTCTTTTCCTGTTAAATAACGAACGTTTTACAACACAGAATGTTTACTCTCATAGTAAACACAGGTCTTTCAGTCTATATTATATAGATATACAGCAGCTTCGGTTGTTACGTAACATTTACGTAGTTAGGTTGCTTGTTCTGTAGCTTGTTTGTCAATTAGCTTGCCTGTTCGGGCGGTGGATAATGGTGCGTGTGGGGAGGCGCACTTATGAAGCATTATACAGCTTTAATATAAGGTTCTCATTTCGAAGGTGAACGATATATATTTAGGGGACTGTTCTTTATAACATTTCACTGTGTAATTCACTATTATAATCGGACAAAATCCCCCATAAATGCATTGTGAACAACCGGACAAAATCCTCCATAAATGCACTGTGAATAACAGGACAAAATCCCCCATAAATGCACTGTGAAACACCAGACAAAATCCCCCATAAATGCACTGCAAATACCCGGACAAAATCCCCCATAAATGCACTGTGAATAACAGGACAAAATCCCCCATAAATGCACTAGGAGAGAGCTTACCTGAAGAATGGGAGTGTCGCTTTTGTCTGTGGCTCTGATAACCCCGTCGTCCCAAGCCTCGATGACGAAGGTCTGGTCGACGCCGCCGCTGTAGCCTGGCTCGCACGACACAGACACGCTCTCCTCCGTCTCGTTGAAGACGTTGCAGGAGGTGACGACGTCCGGCTTGCCTGCAGGGAACACGGTGAAGGTGCAGGGCGTCCTCTGCATGCCCACGGCGTTGGTGGCCCAGCACAGCAAGGTGCCGTAGTCCAGGTCGCTCACTGGGGAGTAGCGGAGGTCCGACCGCTGTGACTTGCTGTGGTGGTAGAGTTATGTATAGATATTTTATTACGGCTTCTACCAGTGGTTATGTAATTTAGTTGTGCTGCTGCTGCTTTTGCTGCTACTGCTGCTGCTGCTGCTGCTGCTGCTGTTGCTGCTGTTGCTACTGCTGCTGCTGCTGCTACTGCTGCTGCTGCTACTGCTACTGCTGCTGCTGCTGCTGCTGCTGTTGTTGCTGCTGCAGCAACAGCAATTGATAATGAAATATTGTCCAATATGAGATTAATGCCACAACTAATGTAATTATTAAGAAAAGCACTGCCATCACTGCTACCACACAAATATTAACCACTGCCAACATTGCTTCCACACAAATATTAACCACTGCCAACATTGCTTCCACACAAATATTAACCACTGCCAACATTGCTTCCACACAAATATTAACCACTGCCAACATTGCTTCCACACAAATATTAACCACTGCCAACATTGCTTCCACACAAACATTAACCACTGCCACCACACAAATATTAACCACTGCCAACATTGCTTCCACACAAATATTAACCACTGCCAACATTGCTTCCACACAAATATTAACCACTGCCAACATTGCTTCCACACAAACATTAACCACTGCCACCACACAAACATTAACCACTGCCAACATTGCTTCCACACAAATATTAACCACTGTCAACATTGCTTCCACACAAACATTAACCACTGCCACCACACAAACATTAACCACTGCCAACATTGCTTCCACACAAATATTAACCACTGTCAACATTGCTTCCACACAAATATTAACCACTGTCAACATTGCTTCCACACAAACATTAACCACTGCCACCACACAAACATTAACCACTGTCAACATTGCTTCCACACAAACATTAACCACTGCCACCACACAAACATTAACCACTGCCAACATTGCTTCCACACAAACATTAACCACTGCCACCACACAAACATTAACCACTGCCAACATTGCTTCCACACAAACATTAACCACTGCCAACATTGCTTCCACACAAACATTAACCACTGCCAACATTGCTACCACACAAACATTAACCACTGCCACCACACAAACATTAACCACTGCCACCACACAAACATTAACCACTGCCACCACACAAACATTAACCACTGCCACCACACAAACATTAACCACTGCCACCACACAAACATTAACCACTGCCATCACTGCCACCACACAAATATTAACCACTGCCACCACACAAACATTAACCACTGCCACCACACAAACATTAACCACTGCCACCACACAAACATTAACCACTGCCACCACACAAACATTAACCACTGCCACCACACAAACATTAACCACTGCCATCACTGCCACCACACAAATATTAACCACTGCCAACATTGCTTCCACACAAATATTAACCACTGCCAACATTGCTACCACACAAACATTAACCACTGCCACCACACAAACATTAACCACTGCCACCACACAAACATTAACCACTGCCATCACTGCCACCACACAAATATTAACCACTGCCAACATTGCTTCCACACAAACATTAACCACTGCCAACATTGCTACCACACAAACATTAACCACTGCCACCACACAAACATTAACCACTGCCACCACACAAATATTAACCACTGCCAACATTGCTACCACACAAACATTAACCACTGCCACCACACAAACATTAACCACTGCCACCACACAAACATTAACCACTGCCACCACACAAACATTAACCACTGCCATCACTGCTACCACACAAACATTAACCACTGCCAACATTGCTACCACACAAACATTAACCACTGTCAACATTGCTACCACACAAACATTAACCACTGTCAACATTGCTACCACACAAACATTAACCACTGCCATCACTGCTACCACCCAAACATTAACCACTGCCATCACTGCTACCACACAAACATTAACCACTGCCAACACTGCTACCACACAAACATTAACCACTGCCATCACTGCTACCACACAAACATTAACCACTGCCAACACTGCTACCACCCAAACATTAACCACTGCCATCACTGCTACCACACAAACATTAACCACTGCCAACATTGCCACCACCCAAACATTAACCACTGCCATCACTGCTACCACACAAACATTAACCACTGCCAACATTGCTTCCACACAAACATTAACCACTGCCATCACTGCCACCACCCAAACATTAACCACTGCCATCACTGCTACCACACAAACATTAACCACTGCCAACACTGCTACCACCCAAACATTAACCACTGCCAACACTGCTACCACACAAACATTAACCACTGCCAACATTGCCACCACCCAAACATTAACCACTGCCATCACTGCTACCACACAAACATTAACCACTGCCATCACTGCTACCACACAAACATTAACCACTGCCAACATTGCCACCACCCAAACATTAACCACTGCCATCACTGCTACCACACAAACATTAACCACTGCCAACATTGCTTCCACACAAACATTAACCACTGCCATCACTGCCATCATCCAAACATTAACCACTGCCATCACTGCTACCATCCAAACATTAACCACTGCCATCACTGCCACCATCCAAACATTAACCACTGCCATCACTGCTACCACCCAAACATTAACCACTGCCATCACTTCTACCACACAAACATTAACCACTGCCATCACTGCTACCATCCAAACATTAACCACTGCCAACAAATACTTTTAACACTTAAAATATACAAATAATACTCACATTCCATCTCCTTTGATATCGTAGTGAGAGCTACCAAGAAATAGATAACATATTACCATTTTAACATTGATTATACTTAAAAACATTCATATATTGAACTGAACTCATTTACTGGAACATGACATGATATAAGCCTTGCTTCCGTACAACACATGTTAATTAACTCCCGTGAGCCAAAAAAATTAACCTCAAGCTAAATAAGACGCAAAGGAAATTAACTCTAGTTACCTCACGTTACTTATACATTAACATTGACAAGTATATCATTAACTAATTTTAGCCAGCAATAAACAAAGACACAAATCATGCAAATTTTTCTTGTTTTACAGAGTCTTTGTTTTGTATCTACAGTAAGTATGCAGAGATGATACCTATGTTTAGTGTTGATTTAGAAATAACTGAAAAGACGAGAAATAGAGAGTGAGATGGAGAGAGAGAGAGAGAGAGAGAGAGAGAGAGAGAGAGAGAGAGAGAGAGAGAGAGAGAGAGAGAGAGAGAGAGAGAGAGAGAGAGAGAGAGAGAGAGAGAGAGAGAGAGAGAGAGAGAGAGAGAGAGAGAGAGAGAGAGAGAGAGAGAGAGAGAGAGTATTAAGATAGATGTAGAGAAAGAGAAAAGGATCAGACAGTAGATAGAGTGATAGAGAGAAGAGAGAGGAAAGAAATGAGATAGATATGGAGAGTAAAGGAAGATACAGATAGAGGGAAAAGAGAGATAGGAAATATATTAGAAAAAGAGATAATGAAATAAATTGAAAGAAAATATATAGATGAAAGCCATAGAAAATACAATGAAAAAGAGATAAGAAAAGAAATAGATAAAAAAGAGAATGAGAAAGATAGAATGTGATAACAAACATACATCTGGTCGCAAGAAAAATACTCACAAAGGTTTTCATCATAAAAAAGGTTCAATAGGTTCCCTATCTCTCATTGGGAATCAGAAACAAGAAAAAACTTGTATTAGAATTGATCCAAAGCCTGGTGACCTCGGGTTAAAACGATCGTTCAGGGCAATTCGTTTGAGGATACAATCTCACCACTTAACCAGAAAGATGGTACAGCTGTAACCATCAACCATGAGAAGTCGTTTCGCAACTAAGGTGCAGGTTCAAGATCCGGAACGACCTCCAGAAGAAGACAAGATCCTGTTCGAACGAACACGACCCAGTTGGAACGAACAAGATTCAGTTGGAACGAACAAGATTCGGTTGGTACGAACAAGATTCGGTTGGAACGAACAAGATTTGGTTGGAACGAACAAGATTCGGTTGGAACGAACAAGATTCGGTTGGAACGAACAAGATTCGGTTGGAACGAACAAGATCCAGTTGGAACGAACAAGATTCAGTTGGAACGAACAAGATTCGGTTGGTACGAACAAGATCCAGTTGGAACTAACAAGATCCAGTTCGAACGCACAAGATCCGGTTCGAACGAACAAGATCCAGTTGGAACGAACAAGATATAGTTCGAACGAACAAGATCCAGTTCGTTCAGAACGTTCTGTCAAATCTGACAGGAGTAAAAACATCTTGTATAAACAATACTCACATTCCACCTATCGAATTTGACAAATGGAATGTGTCAAATATGACAGTAGTGACTTTTGTTGGTAGGAAGAAGTTCCTCAACTTAAGTCATTCGACTGCTTGACTTCGCCTCCCACGCGCCTCTACCAACTCTTCCCGGTTGGATGAAAGCCGACGTAGTTCGAGTCCAGAAACGGAAGAACCGGTCAGTGGTTAGTAATTACAGCCAAGTGCCACAGCTCCCCATTGCCAGCAAAATTCTTGGGCCAATATTCTCTCATGAAGTTACCGCTTTCCCTGATCAATGTCAGTTACTGTACAATCGACAATATGGCTTCAGGAAAGATCATTCTGTTGCTGGTTTCTTGTTGAATCTGTCTTCTTAGTGGCATCAGTGTTGACAACCAGAAGTTGGCAATCACAACACAAGACGCTCAGCAATCAACAGCCTCATCCTGACTGTAACCTCAAAAAACATCACTCTGTTTGGAACATGTTTGCTCAAAACATATAGAGATCTCTGAAATAAAGTTCACCAACCACATGAAATGTCTGGTTTACAGCTGAACTTCCTGAACAGGTGAACTTCTACTTCCAGCTTCATCCATTGATTGCAACTAATTAAACGAAGTTTAATCCTAATGGAAACTAATAATAAGCTTAATAAATAAATGTTTCAAGGATCGGGCCTCTGAGCTGATGTTGGACAAGAGGTCTCAGCTTGCAGTTTCATCAGGAACATTAGCATTATGTTTTGTGTTTCCAAGGCCGAATTAAAAAATAATTTAAGGAGAGAGAGAGAGAGAGAGAGAGAGAGAGAGAGAGAGAGAGAGAGAGAGAGAGAGAGAGAGAGAGAGAGAGAGAGAGAGAGAGAGAGAGAGAGAGAGAGAGAGAGAGAGAGAGAGAGAGAGAGAGAGTGAGAGTGAGAGTGCAGTTCGAGTTAGAAAGTCATATTACTGATCATATTACAGTAGAAGAAATAACAGTTGTGGAAGAACTAATATTAAAAATAAGTGTATTATGTAAACACTAAGAGCAGCAGCAGAACAGCAAAACAAGCAGCTGTAGCAGCAGCAGAAGTAGCAGCAGCAGCAGGAACTGCACCAGAGACAGGTGGGATGGAGTGATATTACTGCATGATATATTGCCACTCTATACACTAAATAGCGCCTATTATATTGCGGGGAAACATGACAGATGTAGTCAGGGTATGTGGTATGTTGGCAAGGAAGAATGAGTGATATGTGGGAGCGTAATAGGTTGACAAGGTGAGTGAGGGTGAGTGTAGGTTCGAAATAGGGAGCCGGGAGGGAAGAATGGGTGTAGGACCATAATGGGAGTATCAGGGAGAGAAAAAGAGTGGGGTGTGGGGGCGTAATGGGGAGTTTTATGAGGGAGTAAAGGCTTGTGGGGGCTGTGTTGTATGAGGGGAAGGGAGCCGAGGGTCGAGGACGGATGAGGGGAGTGTGAGGAGACAGGTAGTTCAATATTTTCCACACTATTACCTGGGTAGGAACAGTGAGGGAGAGAGAGAGAGGGAAGAGAGAGAGAGAGAGAGATAGAGAAAGGGAGGGAAAAAGAACGGTTGGAAGAGAGGTATTGAGAGAGGAAGCGAGAGAGGACAAGTGAAGGGGGAGAAAGGAAGGAAGATAAGAGGAATTGAACACTGTTCCTGAACATATGTTCACAAGGAACACGATGCTCTTGACAACTTGTAGTGGATTGGGCAATAATATGAATGAATGAAAGAATAAATGAATGAATGGAGGAAGGAAGGAAGGCAGAAAGGACAGAATAAATAAAGAAACTAGGAAAGGAGAGAGAGAAAGCAAGGAAAGAAAATACAATTTGAAGACAATTATAGGAAGGAATAGAAAGAGAGGGAAGTAAGACAAAGAACACATGTAAGAAAATGCAAACAGAAAAGGCAGAAAGATATAAAGAAAATACGGAAGCAAGGAAAATTGAGGAAAATAGATGCATAGGAAATAAACAGGTCTATATCCTCAAGAAACAGATGGATATCTTCAAGAAACAAAAGGATATCCTCAAGAAACAGATGGATATCTTCAAGAAACAAAAGGATATCCTCAAGAAACAGATGAATATCTTCAAGAAACAGATGGATATCCTCAAGAAACAGATGGATATCCTCAAGAAACGGATGAATATCTTCAAGAAACAGATGGATATCCTCAAGAAACGGATGAATATCTTCAAGAAACAGATGGATATCCTCAAGAAACAGATGGATATCCTCAAGAAACAGATGGATATCCTCAAGAAACAGATGGATATCCTCAAGAAACAAATTAATATCTTCAAGAAACAGATGGATATCCTCAAGAAACAGATGAATATCTTCAAGAAACAGATGAATATCTTCAAGAAACAGATGGATATCCTCAAGAAACAGATGAATATCTTCAAGGAACAGATGCATATCCTCAAGAAACGGATGAATATCTTCAAGAAACAGATGGATATCCTCAAGAAACGGATGAATATCTTCAAGAAACAGATGGATATCCTCAAGAAACAGATGGATATCCTCAAGAAACAGATGGATATCCTCAAGAAACAGATGGATATCCTCAAGAAACAGATGGATATCCTCAAGAAACAGATGGATATCCTCAAGAAACAAATTAATATCTTCAAGAAACAGATGGATATCCTCAAGAAACAGATGAATATCTTCAAGAAACAGATGAATATCTTCAAGAAACAGATGGATATCCTCAAGAAACAGATGAATATCTTCAAGGAACAGATGCATATCCTCAAGAAACGGATGAATATCTTCAAGAAACAGATGGATATCCTCAAGAAACAGATGGATATCCTCAAGAAACAGATGGATATCCTCAAGAAACAGATGAATATCTTCAAGAAACAGATGGATATCTTCAAGAAACAGATGAATATCCTCAAGAAACAGATGGATATCCTCAAGAAATAGATGAATATCTTCAAGAAACAGATGGATATCCTCAAGAAACAGATGAATATCCTCAAGAAACGGATGGATACTCTCAAGAAACAGCTGTACTGCCTTAAGAAACAGATGAAAATCATCAATTAACAGGTGTACAGCCACAAGAAACAGGTGTATAGCTCAAGGAAGAGACACGTCCACAAATATCTCAAAGAAATGTAACCTTAAATACTGTGCTAACAGACTACATGAAGATGATGAAGAAGTCACAAGATGATGTCAAGACACTGTTCAAGAGAGAGAACTCACTGGGGGATGTCCACAAACTCTCCAGTGTTGTTGAAGGCCCAGCGGTAGGTGGTTACAGGAGGATCAGCCTCCACTCTGCAGGTTACAGTAGTCTTCTCATGGCGTCCCACACCGTACACATCTGTTTGCTCCATCCCGCAGACGGGCGAGTCTGCAGACACGTATTATAGGCTTGATTCAACACTCGGCGTGTATCTGCGGATTCCTAAGTTAACATTTGTTATACTTATATAAACACACTCTATACACACCTGTACACAATTACACACATACACACTATTACACACATACACACACACACACACACACACACTACGAGGGGGGCCTCGTAGCCTGGTGGATAGCGCGCAGGACTCGTAATTCTGTGGCGCGGGTTCGATTCCCGCACGAGGCAGAAACAAATGGGCAAAGTTTCTTTCACCCTAAGTGCCCCTGTTACCTAGCAGTAAATAGGTACCTGGGAGTTAGTCAGCTGTCACGGGCTGCTTCCTGGGGTGTGTGTGTGTGGTGTGAAAAAAAAAGTAGTTAGTAAACAGTTGATTGACAGTTGAGAGGCGGGCCGAAAGAGCAAAGCTCAACCCCCGCAAAAACACAACTAGTAAACACACACACACACACACACACACACACACACACACACACACATGCAATGCACTAGGAAGTGATGTGGTGGAGGCTGACTCCATACACAGTTTCAAATGTTGATATGATTGAGCCCAGTAGGCTCAGGAATCTGTACACCAGTTGATTGACGGTTGAGAGGCGGAACCTAAGAGCCAGAGCTCAAGCACAACTAGGTGAGTACACAGGTCATCGCAGCCAAGTGAGCAGCGCTCTGGCATCGTAATATTAAGTGCCCAGGTTCGATTTCCTGTCGAGGCAGAAACAAATGGGTATATTTGTTTTTATCTCGACAGGAACAGCTGGTTCGGGCTGTACTCTGGGAAATGTGTGTGTGATAGAACTGTGTAGTAGATATGATAGAAGAAAAAATTGATTGGGAATCAGTAGATTAGACAACTGACAGGTAGAAAGGCGGGGTCCAAGAGCTAATAGCTCGATCCTGCCGGCATAAATGGTAAATATAAATAGTAAAATACTCATCAATTTCTTTCTTCTGGCATTTATTCTTTTCCTTATATCTCTCCTCCCTTGCATACTCGTAGAACATCTTCCACTACTACTTCCAATAGTTCAATTTCTCCTTATAACACTCATAACATCTTCCTACTTCTTGCGCCTCTATTCTTCCTATTGTAGCTGTGAGCAACAGGGCACAACACACTAAGGTCTGAGAGCCTTGTGTGTGTTCCTCTAATCCACAGCTGAACATCACAAGGACTCCGAAAACCCTCCTGTCTCGTACTCTCTCCACTTCACAAACTCGCCAGAAAATCCACCACATATTCGCCAACAGATATTTTTCTTTCTTTCTCTTTCTTACTTGCAGGCAAAATTTCCGTTTGCAGTTTTGCTGAGCATATCCCCCCCCTTCGAGTCCGTCTAGATCGGTTTCTTTATATGTCATTGCTCAATCACTTGGGCTGGACGGTAGAGCGACTGTCTCGCTTCATGCAGGTCGGCGTTCAATCCCCGACCGTCCAAGTTGCTGGGCACCAATCCTTCCCAAATCCTTATCCTGATCCCTTCAAGTTCTATATAGTCGAATTGCTTCGGAGCTTTCTCCTGATAGTTCCCTTCCCTTCTTTACTTGTCAACTAGCCTGCCAGTCATGGAGGCCCTGACAAATCATGACTGCTCGTCTGACACTGTGACAGGTCTATAGTAGTAGTAGTAGTAGGCATCCATCAGTCTCAGGAGACTATGGAGTTGCGCTCTGGTTGTAGGTCTGGAGTGGCCTCTCCAGTTCGCAAAGCCAGGGTAGGTTGATACGGAGAAGCTGTTACCCAGGCAGCAGGTCCCCCCCTCTTCACGGCGCTGAAAGTCTCCAATGGAAAGGCAAACGCCAATACGATTGGTTCCAGCGCCGTCGCAGGAACTGTGAGCTCCGGAGCTTATAGACCGACAGGTCTATAAGACTTATATAAGCCCTACGACAGACGGGTCACATACTTACACTTGACAGAGAGGAGAATGGACGAAGACGTGTTTGATCCTTGGTTGTTCGTGGCGGAGCAGGCGTAGCTCCCTGCCTGTTTCCTGGAGACTTTCTGTAGGACCAAAGACCGCCCCACCACCATCACCCCTCCACTCACGTTCTGCTGGAGCTCCATTCCCTGTGTCAAGGATCCAGGGGACTGTTAGTGCTGCTGCCAATATACACCAATTATCAATAATGACACACACCTATCATTTGTGTCATCATGGTAATTATTTCTAGTATAATTGCTATAATAATAACAGCATTTGGATATGTTAAATGTTCATTGGTCTAAAAAAAGCCATAAAGTTTAATGTGTGGAACTTTATAAATAATTTTATTATACAGAAGAATGATTTATTAAAGAATAATATGTATTCATATACCCACGTGCTACACCCGAAGTTTATAAGTATATATATATAATATTACATAACTTTGAACATATCATATTACTTTCTGCATAATAATAAGGATTTTACACAAGAGTAAAACTTTCACACATAATATTTCTAATTACTACCAGTGACAATATACTTTCCACAAAATATCTAAAGAAAAATGAATAACATATCCATTATTAACCCAAGAGTAAAAAGATCAGAACCCATTTGTGCTTTTGTGAGCAACAGATGTGGGAAGAAATTTCAATGGGAAAAATCCTAATACTAATGGTAAGGAAAAACACACTAGGGAAAATGCTTATAGAGGAGAAAAACAAGGCATAAGACTCACGTTAAAAGTCCAGGTGATCTTATGTGCCTCTGGCCTGGCCTTGATGTGGCAGTCGAAGTACACATCATCTCCCTCCTTGATGTGGTTGAGGTCTAGGGAGGAGCCTGGAGCCACATGCACCTCAGGAGGGTCTGAAGAGGGTGGGTGAGAGAAGTGAGAGAAATAAAGAGATAGGTTAAGGGGAGTAAACATCAATTAACTTCACCACCGTGGGAGGTTATTCACACGGGGCGACTGTGGGTGTGTGATTCTGGTGTAATAAAGAATAAAAGAACATAAGAATAATGGCAACTGCAGAAGACCTATTAACTCATAAGTTCGTGTGAGACAACTGCTATTTTATATATATATATATATATATATATATATATATATATATATATATATATATATATATATATATATATATATATATATATATATATATATATATATATATATATGCGAACAAGCCTGAATGGTCCCCAGGACAATATGCAACTGAGGTGTGAGTTATATATATATATATATATATATATATATATATATATATATATATAAATTGAATTCAAGGTCCCCCATTCAAGCCTGAATGGGGACCATTAAGGCTAGTTCGCATATATATATATATATATATATATATATATATATATATATATATATATATATATATAATAATAATAATAATTTAGCCTAAAATGACTTTCTCCTTAAGTCACGTTATTGTGCGACTTTCTGCGCCCTAAAATGTAATAATTTAAGACAATGCATAATTGGGGCTGCATTTAATTAGTTCATCAGGTTGCGAGCTGAATGCAATCAGGTCAATTTGGGTCGTATGGCTTCTTTGAATCGTGTTTCATCGTTCGTGTGTTCGTATAGGAGGTAGTTTTGTCATACTTATAAAACCTGAAACCATATGTGGGCCGTGTGTCCCTCAGGGATACACCATATGGTATATCCTGTGTCCTCAGGTTGTATACATAGGCTTATGTGTCACATGGGTATGTATAGACATTGATGTCAGGGGTGTGTGAGCTCAGAGACGTCACTGTATGTATACTGGCACATTCTGTGTATTGAAAGTACTGTGTACTCAGTATTGTGTACTGTGCACATTTAGAGACATGTGCACAGTTATCTCAGAATTTCTTCTCTGGCTCTTTAAATTGTGCATGAGTTTGTCACAGAGTTACCTTAGATTATGTACACAGTTACCCCAAGATGTGTACATAAGTACCCCAGTGAGTGTGTGTGTGTGTGTGTGTGTGTGTGTGTGTGTGTGTGTGTGTGTGTGTGTGTGTGTGTGTGTGTGTGTGTGTGTGTGTGTGTGTGTGCGTGTGTGTGAGTGTGTGTGTGTACACAAGTACCCAGTGAGTGTGTGTCTGTGTACACATGTACCCCCCAAAGTGTATGTGTGTGTGTACACAAATTTCTCACGAGAGAAAACTCAGCTACCTGAAGAGTCAATTTTCCAACGAAATCCCTATTGCTTCGAAATCGAAAATAAAAAAAAGGAATTTATAGACCATTTGCATAATGGGAGCGCTGGAGAGATTCTATTGGCATTCATGATCTAAGTTTATTGAAGGAGTCAGCCGAAGGAAAACACTGACAGCATCTCCACCTACACTATCTCCTCTGAGGAATGACTAAGATTATCTCCAAGTGGAGAAGATCTCTTCCAGATGAGAGATGATGCTCAAAGTGAGTTAAAACTCACTTTGAGGCCTTGAGTGTTAATGGTGTTGAACATTTAGTAATGACAGGTTCTAGTTGGACTCATTGGGGCTAGCCTCGAGTATCTGGCCATTAGCCCCGTCGTGGATCTATCTTCTGATGGCCCGAAGCTTTTTGACCATGTAGATCTGTGGCAGAAATATGGTCTTATGGTCTCATTCTGTTGACGTGGGGCATACGCACTCCGAGAGGTGTGTATCCTGTTTCTGGGTGTATATAATATGGGATAAATTTCTGGACTTTGTTAACAACTAAAACAATACTTGATGGTTGGTCAACAGGGTGTTGTGGTGGCAGTAATAATCCTCAAGAGGTTGATAGGTTATCTTGAGGTTATCTTGAGATAATTTCGGGGCTTTTTAGTGTCCCCTCGGCCCGGATAGACCCAAAGAAGATCCACGAGATCTGGTATAAACATATTCCCCAAATTTTAATGAAACGTTATAAAAACCGATCCTAGGAACTAAAAATATATTTGGATATCTTGAAAGGGCTCTGTCATATGTAAATTTGAAACTGTGAATGGAGTCTGCCTCCACCACATCACTTCCTAATGCATCCCATTTCTTAACTACTCTGGCATTAACTTTCAATATTCTTTCTATAGTTTGTGGCTCATTTGAGAACTCATTTTCCACCTGTGTTCCCTTGTGCGAGTACCACCCGTGTTAAATAGCTTGTTTTATTCTCCTATATGAATAACTCTGAGAATGTTGGATATTGTATTCTTGACTCCCAGAATTTTCCAGAGATGTGAGGTTTAATTCCTGTAGCCTTTCCTTTTAACTTATACCTCGTAATTCTGGAATTAGCACTTGGAACTAGTACGGGTTGAGGGTACACGAACAAGGGAACACAGGTGAAAACTGAGTACCCGATGAGCCACAGGGACGTTAGAAAGAACTTTTTTAGTGTCAGAGTAGTTAACAGATGGAATGCATTAGGCAGTGATGTGGTGGAGGCTGACTCCATACACAGTTTCAAATGTAGATATGATAGAGCCCAGTAGGCTCAGGAACCTGTACACCAGTTGATTGACGATTGAGAGGCGGGACCATAGATCCAAAGCTCAACCCCCGCAAGCACAACTAGGTGAGTATAACTAGGTGAGTACACACACACACACACACCCCAGAAAGCAGCCCGTCGCGGCTGTCTAACTCCCAGGTCTCTATTTACTGCTAGGTGAATAGGGTGAAAGAAACTCTGCCCATTTGTTTCCGCCTCCGCCGGGCATCGATCTCCAGACCCAAGGACTACGAATCCCGAGCGCTGTCTACTCAGCCACCAGGACCCCTTGTGAGAGTGTGCTTCTGTGGGTGTGTGTGTGTGTGGGTGGGTGCATGTGTGTGTGTGTGGGTGGATGCGTGTGTGTGTGTGGGTGGAAGTGTGTGTGTGTGTGGGTGGATGCGTGTGTGTGTGTGGGTGGGTGCGTGTGTGTGTGTGTGTGGGTGGATGCGTGTGTGTGTGTGGGTGGATGTGTGTGTGTGTGTGGGTGGGTGCGTGTGTGTGTGGGTGGATGCGTGTGTGTGTGTGGGTGGGTGCGTGTGTGTTGGCCGTTGTGCTATCATAAAGCCTATCTAATCACACTATCGTCTCCCACTCCTGCAGTGCTATCTCGTCTGTCATCTTTTTTATCACCTTAATCTCCCTAAATTCATTGTCATAGAGTTTGTTTTCTTCCGAATTTCACTCGGAAACTAATTGCACTTCTCACGTTGAATAGCGTGTGATGTCCTCTCTCTCTCTCTCTCTCTCTCTCTCTCTCTCTCTCTCTCTCTCTCTCTCTCTCTCTCTCTCTCTTCTCTCTCTCTCTCTCTCTGTCTCTCTCTCTCTCTCTCTCTCTCTCTCTCTCTCTCTCTCTCTCTCTCTCTCTCTCTCTCTCTCTCTCTCTCTCTCTCTCTCTCCCTCTCTCTCCTCACACACACACACACACACACACACACACACACACTCTCTCTCTCTCCTCTTTTCTCTCTCTCTCTCTCTCTCTCTCTCTCTCTCTCTCTCTCTCTCTCTCTCTCTCTCTCTCTCTCTCTCTCTCTCCTCTCTCTCTCTCTCTATCTCTCTCTCTCTCTCTCTCTCCGTAAGAATGTCATTAAGATTGCGTTGCTAATGGAACTACAAGCCAAAAACTATTGACTTTTATCTCTAATTCACTGTGAGCCTCACTCTAGATGCTCATTTGTTTCTTGAACGTCTTATTTCTATGCATAATAAATTGTATTTAGTGTTAAGTTACAATTACGGTAGTAACAGGATGAATCTGATGCCAACTGTGTGCCAGAGCCTTCATGTGGTCGGGTGATTTGATCCCGTGTATGTCTGTGTTGAGGGAACATGTTCCAGACGTGTCAGGTTAGGGATGAATGATCGCTGATGGAGTTATATGCTTCAGTGCTATCATGAGGCTGTTGATGACTGAGCGCCTTGTGTTGTAATTGCCGTCTTGCAGCTATCCATGCAGCTGAGCCAGGTGGCGGGGAGTTTGAGAACATTGGGTCCATTCACCAGAGCATTTGAAGACTCGAACCGCTGACCCCACGAGCGTGAGACAGAACCTCTATCGACTGGGCTATTAGTAGCCTTAATAAGGAAACTTATCAGACGCAGCATCCTGCTATCAAACTGGAATTTTCGACTTTCCCTGACTACTACTGAAGCACATAGGAATTACTGACCAACGTTGTATACAATGTTATCCCACACTTCTATGTAAATAAACAATCTATTCACCTGGGTTGGAACATTGGTGTTATACATATGAATAAGTATAGAGATACTAGAGATAAGTCTTCTCACTTGGGTTTCTACCTTGTCCAGAATGCTGATGAATACCGGACAGTGAGACACAATAACGTGTCCGAAAGCGTGACACGACATGGTCCAAAACGGACCGAAATAATGTAAAACGTGAGGCACATTCTCACTCTCTCCCTCTTTCCGACCTTATTCTCAGATTCGATGAAAGAACATCATTTACAGAAGAATAGTGAATTATTAATAACAATGACGGTGTTATGTTTCAAACTACGCACAATTAGGTGGCTTTTAGAGTTAAATACAATTTGTTTGAGAGCCACGGAGGACCTCAGATCGCTGGGAGGAAACCGGTTCCCAATTTCACTCATGAATATATAATGGGACTCAGAACACCTCTCATTCATGAGGTGTTGCAGAGCACTTGGTGCTGTGAGAGTGGCTCCCCTTCCTCTCTCACTATTTTGGCTGTGCTGCTTCGAATACCCGCAAAACTATATATATATATATATATATATATATATATATATATATATATATATATATTATATATATAATATATATATATATATATATATATATATATCAGTTTAAGGCTAATAATTACTGTATTGTCTTCAATTAGTCCACATACCTCTCTATCCACAAACACACACACACAGACACAACACACACACGACACAAACACACACACCACACACACACACACACACACACACACACACACACACACACACCCACACACACACACAAACACACACACACACAACACACACACTAAAAAAAAACGACCACCTCGTAAACTGAAAAAGATTAATACATCACAT